AAAAAAAAAAAAAAAATCCCCATACACTTGACTCGAAATCTGAACCTCCTTTTCCCCCTATTGTTTGTGTGATATACAACATTCATGTTTAGCAATGGGATGCTATACCTATTCGAAATAACTGAGTTATTGATATAATTTTCAGAAAATAAAAGAGAAAATGCATAAAGACCCCATTCAACTTGTCGTGAAAAATCATTTACACACCTAAACTTTACGGGTGTCCTAACACCCCACTATTGTTAAAACAATTGTATTTATTTACTCCCTCCTAAGTCTTGGTCAGCCGCGCGTCTTAGACAACGCAATTGAGCGCGTCTTTGCTCTATTTTAATCGTTAAAAACACCCACAAAAAAAAAAAAGAAAAAATTAAAATTTTAACTTCAATATAACCCCCAACCAACAGTAAAACCCATTCTTCCCTAATATTTTACCAAATCCAATTGAAGAACCCTAATTTCTTCTTCATCTAAATTCTACCGAAATTGTATCAAATTACTCTTTGAAGTTTTGATCTTTGAAAGCAAAGGTTAATCTTTCTCCTCCAAACGTAATAATGTTTCGCAGATAATTCAACTTCAATGTTTGAGCTTGATTCTTCAAAGAACTTCGGCTTTGAACGGGTCTTTCTCCAACTCGTCAGGAATGCTAAATAACAATGAAATCGAAGGATTTTGCAACCGGTCACTTCGATTTTGTTCGGGGAAATCGATTTTGGCGAGGCAAGAAGAATTTTCAATGGTTGGGCATTAGGGTTCTTCAATTTGGGAATTTTTAACCGATGGGGTGAGGCTCGTTTAGATACTGTTATTTTTATTTAGTAGACATTTTGAATTGAGAAAAAAATCAAAGTTTGACCAGAATTAGCATAAAAAAGAGCTGGTTTTTCATGAAATATTTCTGAATAGAAAAGAGACCATAGAAAGATTTTGGTTCTTTGGAAGAACAGGGGAGGTCTAAGTGATCTGTATATTCCATCACGCCCATAACTAGATTTTTCCATTGAATGAACACTGTTTTTTTCTTGGTTTTTATGTAATGCTTTTTTCTGAATTTTCAGTGGGGAATGGATTGGTATTTGGAATTCTTGAATTGAGGAGAAAAGATAGGAAGATGACAACGAAATATATAATGTGCTATGAATATTAAATAGAGGAAAGATAGTTTGTTGAGTGCCGTCCATGTTAATTACGTGGCTTACTAATAAAGCGTGTGTTTCCCACTCAGATTAATATCGTTGGGCCAGAGCTTAGGAGGGAGTAAATAAATACAAATGTTTTAACAATAGTGGGGTGTTAGGACACCCGTAAAGTTTAGATGTGTAAATGATTTTTCAGGACAAGTTGAATGGGGTCTTTATGCATTTTTTCAAAATAAAAATAACCGAGTTGTTGATACGGTGTCGAGTTAATATGATATTCACATTCTTCTTTTCGTGTCTTAAAATACAACGGCAGATGAATCACAATTCACAAGTGAGCTCCTTTTATTCATGTTTTCTCACGACATCAACCAATCAACTACACCTCAATCCAAATCAATTGGGAACAGCAGTATGAGTACTATATATATTTCACTCCAATGGGGCTCTTTTTATTCTATAATTCAAATAAATTAGGCTAATATCATTTGGTCAGTGTTGTGAAGAGCGTGAAGCGAGTAAAAGCGACAACCCCCATTTCACGAGAAGCGAGAAGCCAAGCGCTCGCTTTTTTTTAAGTGAAGCGGAATTTTAAAAAAAATCAAAATAAATACTGCATAGAGAACACATGTAATTGTAAGTAAATGTTCAATACTTCAATTAAAAAATTAAAGAGTAGCATCAATTGGGCAGAAACTGGAAAAATTGGGCAGAAATTTTCTGAAAAAAATTCGCCAGCATTTCGCCGCTTTTTGGACGTTTAGAAAGAAAAAGAAAAAGAAAAAGAAAAAGAAGAAGAAGAAGAAGAAGAAGACTGAAAATCAAAAGTGCAGAAGCAGAACATAGTAACATACCTGTACTCTTGAAGAAGAAGAAGAACAACCCTAGTTGCTGCTTTGAGATTATTTCAGAAATCAGAAGTTGACGAAGAAGAGAAGAAGAAATCGCTGCTGTTTTTGAAGAAAAACCCTAGTCTCGCTGCTGTTGAAGAAGTCCAGATAGTGTTTACGGTTTAGAAACCTCGTTTTTTAATAAAATAGGGCTTGGGTTAATTTTAAACATAGAAGCGGACGCTTCTAACGCTTCTTCTTGCTTCACCGCTTCTGGCTTTTTACAGAGAAGCTGTCGCTTTTTCGTACCAGAGTCGCTTCTATTACTTGAAGCGTTGCCCTTCATGCCTCGCTTCGCTTCTCGCTTAAAGCGAGGAACCAAGCGCTTTTTTAATCACTGCATTTGGTTGATTGGAATAGAAATACTTTTTGTATGTGTGTCTTTTTTAGGGGGGGGGGGGGGGAGAGTGAGAAATGCACGTGACATTCCTCTCTGCTGAAGATGTTGGGCTCCCCTTTACCATAGTTTTCTGCCAATTCAATTGACAATTTCCTTCCATTTATCAAATCAAATCTTATAAAAAATATGTGCTTCTTTTCTTGTGAGAAGACAATGTTTCCTACTTGAACTTACCTTTAGAGCGTCCCGCGCTCTAAGCTTGACAACGTTCACTCTTCCATCTACAGCTGGTTTATTCTGCAATCCCCTAGCAGCATTCGTCCGTCTGAACATTGGAACAGTAACGGGAAAAATTCCCCACTCCCTCCACATTCATAACAGTTACCAGATACCCTCTCCTGAGCCTTTTCTTATCTCCTGTGCTCAAGTCGCTTATAGAATGCCGACAACTATTTTTCACTTAATTAATAAGTGAAGGGGAGAGGGAAGCGAGGCTTAGCGAGCTTTATAAGGCCGACCACTACATAAGCCGTCGGCGGAGAAAGCTCGAAGAGCTTCCCTTCATTCATTACTAAGCCAAGGTCCCAGGACTCCGAGGCAGCCTGCGCTTTTTCGAAGAATCGTGCACCCATGGGCATACGGCCTGTTCCCTTTCCACCAGAGCTTCATGGGCGTTGCCCCGTTCCCCAATCAAATGTTTGGATGTGAGCTATACTCAACGAGAGAGTGCACTGTTTTCTCGAATTTGGTGTACCCTTTTCGAGGGCTCATACGAGCAGCGAACAAATAAGATCCAGAAGTGTGAAAAGGAAACTTTCATGATGTATTTTGTTTCTCTCTGGATTCAACTAGGCACAAAGGTTGGATATTTGTAGCTTGCATATACTAAATTCTCGTCTTCAATAGTGCAGATCCTTCTTAATCTTTTGTTGACATCTAGTTATATTTTGTTTTCTTCACTATACTATGTTCTCTTTTTCTTTCTTTACTTAATTGTATGCCGCAAATACCTGCACCTGAGGAGTTCTCTAATAAATTTAATAATAATTTTCGCTTTTTTCTAGGGGGAGATAATATATCTGTGACAAAAGGTGTTGTCTCAAGGGTAGAACCTACGCAATATGTACATGGCGCTAGTCAACTATTGGCAATACAAATTGATGCGGCTATAAATCCAGGGAATAGTGGAGGACCAGCAATTATGGGTGACAAAGTTGCTGGAGTTGCTTTCCAAAACCTCTCTGGTGCAGAGAATATTGGGTAAATTAGAATTTTATTTTGTTACTTTGTGTCTCTGTAACTACTATACAGATTTAGTTCCATTGCATCATTTATTGCTGGGTCTACCATATATTATTTAGTTAGATATTGATGGGGTATATACTCTAATATCCACTTGCATCATCACAAAATTCAGATTTTTCTCTCCTTTACCTGAATCTGACTGCATGTTATTCTTCCCTCACATGTATTCTCCAGCAAATCTTCTCTTCCATTTTTCTTCGTCATAATATTCAGATTTTTCCCTTCACGCAGCCCTTGTTCATGCATTCGCAAATTTGAAGCTTGAGTTGTAGCCCTTTGGCTCTAGCTTCATAATATTATTCTTTTCATCTCAGAGGGGTTACAAAGGATGACATATGTGGGAATGCCTGAAAGCTTTTAGTTGTGATGACATGCAGTTGATAAGGAGATTTGGTTGATGACATTTACTAGTTCTAATCAACATTTGTTTAGCTTGTGGGAACATTAGTTGCTCTTAGACATGAGATAAAAATTCCAGTGTTTCACTATGATTTCGAATAATGGTCGCGAATTCAAGTTCATTCTATTTCAACTCTTCCTCGGTGCTGCAAACAATCAAATCTAAACTGATACTCTTGATTAAACAATCTACCTTGGAGAAAAATTGTTGTAATTTGGAAAGGAAATTTACAGTGTGCATGGTTGGCCTTACAAGTTTCAGTTCTGTTTTGATTTTGCAGCTACATTATTCCTGTTCCTGTGATAAAGCATTTTATAGCTGGAGTAGAAGAACGGGGCGAATACGTTGGGTTTTGCTCTCTGGGCTTGTCATGCCAACCTACTGAAAATGCACAGATTCGAGAGTACTTCCAAATGCAGTCCAAATTGACAGGTGTACTCGTTAGCCGAATCAACCCACTTTCTGATGCTTCTAGAGTATTAAAGAAAGACGATATAATCCTCTCATTTGATGGCGTCCCCGTAGCAAATGATGGAACAGGTAAGACTTTCTCTTATTGCCTTGCTCCTCTCTATTTCTTGTAATTGTTATGTATGACAGTTAAACTAGTACAACATTCTTCTTCACAGAGTTCTCTTACATTTTATGGCACATGCCTTTTTCTTTCTCTAAATGTTTCGTGACGTAAAATGACGGATTTGGATGAAACATGGATGTGGTTCTTGCCGTAGAGGCTCTTTTAGGCAGGCCAGCACAACTAAAAAGTATTCATGTTCAACGTGCAACTATGAGTAACATATTAATGACCTCCTTTTGAGAGATGGAAAAGCCTCTAGTCGTTTTTCATTCTAAGTTTCTTCTCTTGCCATGTGAATAGCTGGTAATTATACCAGAAACCAGATAAGTGGATGTGCAGGATATGAGAATTGTAAGGCTAGAATAACTTATTTTCTGTTAGAAAAGTTTGCCTTTCTGCATTTTGACTAAAATACATGTCAAAATTAGCAACCTTATTTCCATGGACTAAAGTTTTGAGATTGCTTATGATCTGCAGTTCCTTTCCGAAACAGAGAGAGGATCACATTTGACCATCTGGTATCTATGAAGAAACCTAATGAAACTGCTGAACTTAAAGTCTTGAGAAATGGCGAAGTGCATGACTTCAAAATCACGCTTCATCCTGTAAGTCACATTTATTTACCCTTCATAATTACACTTCTATTAACCCTTTGTAATTAATTGTTGTTAATGTGATATCTCCCGGTGATTTTTCAAACTTCTGCTCATATCCTGGGTGCATGGAATAGATCGAAATCACTGCATCTACATTCTACAATTAGAATTACTCTGTTAAAAATAACTTATTGACATTATCGCTCTGGTAGAAGTAAATTCATCATTTGCACAAGTTATAATATGGAAGTTGAACAATGCATCGTCCTCTTTCAGGTATCTATAGTTGCTCTCATCCAGTATCCTTTTGTCAAATGGAAAACTTAAACAATCTGGTCTTTTACAAAAATAGAAAATTAGAAAAGATGAAAGAAGCCTTGAAGTATTTGGGATGTCACATAATTTACGTAGTTAGAAGTAGTTTGGTGCGGTATTGAAGCAAGGTAAATTTTTGTTTTGTTAGAAGTATTTTGGTGTGCGAGTGGACCAAGGTTATTTTTTGCTTTGTCGCTCTTGGAAATCTGATGCATAGGAGTACGGTGTTGGGAAGGTGACTGCACTTTTTGCTAAGCCTTAGAGTCAACACTTTATCAACTTGTATGATTGGTAGTCTTAAAGGTTTCTCTGATGCTGTGTAACTGTCTACTGTATCTAACAACTAGTTAACATTATGCAGTTGCAGCCACTTGTTCCAGTTCATCAATTTGACAAGCTTCCGAGTTATTTCATTTTTGCTGGTCTCGTCTTTATTCCATTAACTCAACCATTCCTTCACGAGTATGGAGAAGATTGGTATAATGCCTCACCCCGTCGGTTGTGTGAACGAGCACTTCGGGAACTACCTAAGAAACCTGGCGAACAATTCATCATCCTTTCTCAGGTATCTAGAGTTTCTCATCCTTTCATCAAATGGAATACTCAAATAGCTTGATCTTTTATAAAAATAAAAAAAACAAAAAAGAATAAAGACGCCATGAAGTTCCGTCACAATTTCACATGCTAAACACATACTGAGACACACAAAACTGATGACGGACGGGTCTATCCAAATGGGCAGACATTGTTAATGTATTTAAATATTTGCTCCTAGATGACCTTTTGTAAGTTTCTGCACCTAACTGTTGGATTTTTGAATCCACACTCTCTAAAGCCTCATTAGTGGCATGATAAAGTCCCTTGAACTATCCGATAGAACAATAACCTAACCTATACATAGAGACGGAGCTCTGCCTTTCCTTTAAGATTTTACTTCACCGATGACATAGTTCTAATTGATGAGACGCGAGGTTGGAGGTTTGGGGACAAGCCCTCGAGTCTAAGGGTTTCAGGTTGAGCAGGACTAAGACTGAGTACCTGGAGTGCAAGTTTAGCGCTGAGTCGAGGGAAGTAGGCAGGGACGTGAGGCTTGGATCACAGGTCATCCCTAAGGGAGGTAGTTTCAAGTACCTTGGGTCGGTTATTCAAGGGGACGGAGAGATCGACGAGGACATCACTCACCGTATAGGGGTGGTATGGATGAAATGGAGGCTAGCATCTGGAGTCTTGTGTGACAAGAAAGTGCCATCGATACTCAAATAAGTTTTATAGAGCTATGGTAGACCGGCCATGTTGTATGGGGCAAAGTGTTAGCCGGTTAAGAACTCTCATATCCAGAAGATGAAGGTAGCAGAGATGAGGATGTTGAGGTGTATGTGCGGGCACACTAGGATGGATAAGATTAAGAATGAAGATATTCGAGGGAAGGTGGGCGTGGCCCCTGTGGATGACAAGATGCGGAAACGAGACTCAGATGGTTCGGGCACGTGCGGAGGAGAAGCCTTGATGCTCCAGTGAGGAGGTGTGAGCCGTTGGCTTTGGTGGGTACTAGAAGAGGTAGAGGGCGACCTAAGAAGTATTGGGGAGAGGTGATCAGGCAGGACATGACACGGCTGCAAGTTTCCGAGGACATGGTCTTTGATAGGACGGTCTGGAGGTCGAGCATTAGGGTTGTAGCTAGGTGGTAGTCGAGCTTTTTCTACTTCATACCGGGGGTGAGGCGGGTTTGCTAGGTTTGATCTTAGACGGCTTGTGCTTAATGTTGAGTCCACACTATTCTTTCTGTTTTCATAGCCCCAGGCTTTAATTGTTGGTTATTGTTATTGCATGTCATTTATTTTATAGTTTTCATGATGTTGCTACTATTTCTATGGTTTCCGTTGACGATACTGATGAATTGTCTCTTGTTTTATTTCCATCCTCCTGAGCCGAGGTCTATCGTAAACAACCTCTCTGCCCCATCACTACCCTCCCCAGACTCCACTTTGTGGAATTTTAGTGGATCGTTGTTGTATTTTACTCACATATCAACGCACTATATCTGCTAATATGACCTTTTGCAATTAATTAGGTGTTGATGGATGATATTAATGCTGGTTATGAGCGCCTTGCCGAGTTACAGGTAAAACACGTGTTGCTTATATTACTTCTTTCTCCCTTGAAAGACAACATAAGGGCGTCTTTTAATTATTTTCCTTTGTTTTCGGGGAAATTTTGGACCATTTTGTACAGGTGAAGAAGGTTAATGGCGTAGAAGTTCTGAATTTGAAACATTTACGTCAGCTTGTTGAAGATGGTAACCAAAAGAATGTGAGATTTGATTTGGATGATGAGAGAGTGATTGTTTTGAATTATGAATCTGCAAGAATAGCTACATCGCGTATACTGAAACGCCATAGAATACCGCATGCAATGTCTAGTGACCTTACTCATGATGAAAATGCAGCTGAACTTCAGTCAGCGTGCTCAAGCTAATTTTTGTATTACTTCTCTTCACTATTCTTTCCAAATTTTTGCTATTTATATATCTTATGGTTTATTCAAAATTATGTATTATTACTTTTTTTTTTATTTCCCATCCGGTGTCCGGTACCAGCATTGGAGCCCGACTATATCCAAATTCGGTAAAAATAGCACGTTATAGCCAGTTTTCGGACAGGTCAATCAAAAATAGCCAGCGTTTAAGTCAATGAAAAATAGCTACTATTTTGCTGTAATAGAGACTGGTCCAGCATAATATACTGGAGTTCGGTGCACTTGTGTATGAACTACAGCATATTATGCTGGACCGGTATACTTTGCTGATTCCAGTATAATGTACTGGAGACTGGAGCACCGGTGCTCCAAACTCCAGTATATTATATTGGACCAATATACTTGCTGGAACTCCAGTATATTATGCTAGAGTTCTAGCGTACTTATGCTGGAACTCCATCATATTATGCTGGAGTTCCAGCATACTTATTCTAGAACTCCAGTATAATATGCTGGAGTTCAAGTATACTTATGCTGGAACTCTAGCATAATATACTGGACTATTTTCCAGATTATGAACAGTGTTTTCGCTCAGATTTATCTTTATATAAAAAGTGGCTAAATTTTGATTACTTTTGAAATTGGGCTATTTTTGAACGACCAGTTGTAAATCTGGCTATTTTTAAAATTTACCCCCGAATTCGCGGTAAAAATAGCACGGGCTAGCTTGTTTTCGGACTTGTCATTCAATAATAGCTAGCGTTTGCAAAATCATTGAAAAATAGCCACTATTTTGCTGCAACATGGAAAGTTCCAGCATAATATACTGGAGATTGGAACACCTGTGTATGAACTTCCAGCATATTATGCTGGAACTCCAACACGCTTCTTGTAAATTTGGCTATTTTTGAATTTTTCCTGGATTCGTGCTACGTAGGGCCTCATTCGGGGTGGGGGAGGATTTTTCCATAAGTAGGGTTCGAACCCGTGACCTCTGGTTAAGACAAGAGCAGCCCTATCCGCTGCACCACATCCTTTGGTGGTTATTTATTATTACTATAATTATATACTATTATAGAAGCCACTAAGGAGAGCTTGGGGTAGTAGGGGTATTCTGGGAAATGCAATTGTTTTAGCTTTCTAGGGTCACAACGTGTGGGCTTCGGCTGACATGGAGGGTGTTTTCGGTATTTCAACGGAATTTGTCCTTTTAATTAATTTGTACTTGACTGTTTTAAGGGTGTACATTTCTCTTACTGGACAAAACAACCATACCTAATTCCATGTCCCATGAACACGTGTGAACAATATGTTGAGCCAGTTAGGGGTGGGCATATCCGAAATTCGAATTTTTTAGATTTTTGGTTTGGATTTTCGAATTATAGATTGGATTTGGATTTAATTTTTAAAATTTTTGGATTTCGGATTGGATATTGGATTTCGTACTTCGAATTTTTGGATATTCGAAAATTTAAAATTTTTATACTTTATATTTAGTCCATTATCCATATGCCAATAGTAATAAGCTCAATACCCTACCCATTAGATATTATCTAATATATTCAATATTACTTACTAAGTTACTATTAGAATATTTTTTATTTGACATGATTTTATTATTGCTACTTCTTATCGACCGTATTAATATCTTTGTTGTATTATTTTACAATAATTTTATTACTTGAATACTTTATTTGGATGATTGCGGCAAGAATGAGGAACTTTTCATGTAATTTAACATGAGTATTTCATTTGGATATTCATTTTTATAAAGAGTAGAAACATCTCAATTTATACGCTCAAAACCGAATATCCATTATATCCAAATCGATTAATCTGAGACCGAACTTAAAATATCCGATCCAATTCGAACTTATTTGGATTGTCATTTCTTCAATCCGAAAATCGAAAATCCAAACCAAAACTCTCATATCCAATCCGAACTGGCTGAACGTCCATCCCTAGAACCAGTGGGCCTACTTTAGTTTGCTGTCTCACGCGTTCAATTGTCTTTTTCAAGGTTATTTTTTCGGGAGAAATTCAAAAATAGCCAGATTTACAAGTGGTCATTCAAAAATAGCCACAATTTCCAAAAGTAATCGAAATTTAGCCATTTTTCATGTAAAGATAAATCTGAACGAAAACACTATTCAAAATCCGGAAAAATACTCCAGTATAAGCATATTGGAACTCCAATATATTATCTAGTATACTTATGCTGGAGTTCCAGTATAATATACCGGTCCAACATAATATACTGGAGATTGCTAGAACTTTCCGCGTGTTGGAGTTCCAGCATAATATGTTGGAAATTTATACACAGGTGCAACAATCTCCAGTATATTATGCTGGAACTTCCCGTGTTGCAGCTAAATTGTGGTAATTTTTCAATGACTTTGCAAGCGCTGGCTATTTTTGAATGGCCAATCCGAAAACTGGCTAGCCCGTGCTATTTTTACTATTTTTCCCATGTGGGCTCCACCTTAAATTTATCAGTTGGGCACCATCACTTCATTAGTCACACATTCATCGCAATGTCTTTTTCGAGTATAATGAGCTACTAGGCTCTTCCTAAAAAGTAAAACGTGAAAATTTAATGGATGGAAAAACAAATCAAAATTTTTTAGAAGTCTTAGTGGACGTTTGGACATAAAAATTATAAAATTTTGAAAAAAGTAAAAAAAAAAAAAATCAAGTAAAAATGGTATTTAAAAATTAGAATTGTATTTGAAGATGAATCCAATTTGGAGCTATTTTCAAATTTTTGTGAGTGATTTGAAGCGAAAATCTTGAAAAAAAACTTTTTGGAGTTTTTCAAATTTTCAAAAATTCTGAAATTTAGCATCAAGTGAAATCTAAATTTTTCATGGCCGACCGAACACTGATTCGGAAAAAGTAAAAAATTTTCGAAAAAAGTAATATTTTTTTCAAACGGGTACTAAACACTTCACCAGATAATATTTACTTCGTCCGCCTTAAACCACTGATAAATTTACTGATTAAACGGTAATAGAGCATGAATAAATCTTTGAACAAAAATAAGAAATCTCTCTAGACTTTCTCTCTCGGCGCACGATTGTTTGCATGCTATCCTGTGCTGATCGGAAATGGGGAGAGGACGGCCAAAGAAGATGGTAACAAAGGTTCAGCTAGCTGAATTCATAGCATCAGAAAGTAGAAGTGGAAATCTGGGGAGGAATTGTGAAATTGATTCACAAGTAGTAGCCCTAAGTTGCGAAAAGGAACACCAGTGATTTCGATAAATTCTGTAGGATCGAGCAATATGCTAATGAAATTAACACAGAAAAGGAGATCATTAATAAATGTGCACCAGGTTGGAGCATAGAGTGCAGAATAATAAAGAAAAGGAGATCATTAATAAATGTGCACCAGGTTGGAGTTGGTGTTCAAATAGATCAGCTAATGAGAAAGGGAGAATATGGATTCTATGGGATACAAATAGTATTCAGTTCACTTTGATTCATACTCATACTCAGTACATCCATGACATAGTTAAAAATAGCAGTTCTAGCAAATAATTTGCTTTTACAGTTATTTATGGATTGCATGCTATTGCACATAGGTGTGACATGTGGGAAGCATTAAGGAGAATAGACTCTCAGATGACTAACTCCTGGCTAATCATGGGGGATTTTAATGCAGTAATGGACATTGAAGATAGAATAAATGGTACAGTAGTACAGGAAAATGAGATCAAAGATTTTAGGTCTCTAATGGAGGATTGCAGATTGAATGAACTTAGAACTGTGGGTAGATCATATACATGGACAAATAGCCATGTTTATAACAAAATTGACAGAGCCATTGTCAATGCACACTAGATGATGAACATGCCACCAATGCAAGTTTATGTGATGGATCCTCAGTTTTCTGATCACTCTCCATTGTGTATAGAGCTGGAAGTAAAAATGGAACATAAAGGGAGGCCTTTTAAGTTTTTCAATTGTCTTGATGAACATCCAGAGTTTGAAAGTATAATTAGAGACAGATGAAACAACGATAATAGAAGTCTGAAAGATGTCTGGTGCAATCTGAAAAGTATCAAAGTAGCCCTTAAGAGTCTGAACAAGAAGGAGTTTGCCAGTACAACAAACAAGGTGCAACAATTAAGGAAAGATTTAGCCAACATACAAGCACATATGAGAACCACTATAACAACAGCTGATATGTTTGAATCAGAGAGAAACACAAAGAAGCAACTGGAGAAGTGGAGTAAAGTAGAGGAAATCATTTATAAACGAAGATCTAGAATCCAATTGCTTCAATTGGGCGATTCCATTACAGCCTTTTTCTTTGCAAGCATGAAAGGGAGAGTAGCACAGAATCAGATCAAATTCCTAACAGATGAGAATGGAAGACTGATCAACAATCCGGAAGGTATTGAACAAGAAATAGTGGGGTTCTACAGAGGATTGCTAGGAAGATCTACTAATAGCATACCTGCTATTAATCTTAGCATAATGAGGAAATGTGTGATGACCCAAAAGGTCATCACTTGTTTTAGAAATAAATTCTGTGTTCCGAGGCTTCAAAACCTCCTATTTGTCTCACCTCGATTTACATGTGCAGTCCGGGCATGTATCCGAAAAGCCATTATGTGAAAATCTGTGAAAAATGGTAAATTTCGATTTTAAAATGAATTTGTGTTGACTTCGGTCAACATTTTGGGTAAACGGACCCGGACCCATGATTCGACTGTCCCGGAGGGTCCGTAGGAAAATATGAGACTTGGGCGTATGCCCGGAATCGAATTCCGAGGTCCCAAGCCCGAGAAATGAATTTTTCAAGAAAATTGTTTTCTGGAATATATATGAGTTTTTGGAAATTTGAATGTTTTTGAAATTGATGGTATCGGGCCCGTATCTTGGTTCTGGAGCCCGGTACAGGTCTTATATGGCGTTTAGATTGAGCCTCTAAATTTTGGTAAGAAACGGACTTGAAATGACGTGAATGGGACCCTCGGTTGTGAAATTTGAAACTTAAGTGTTCTTGAGATTTTTCTTTGATTCTGATGCTAAATTCAGTGTTAAAGCTGTTAATTTGGCGATTTGATCGCACGAGTAAGCCCATATAATGTTTTGGAGCTAGTATGCACATTTGGTCTGGAGCCCCGAGGGCTCGGGTAAGTTTTGCATAGGTTTCGGGATGTTTTTACACTTAGAAAAGATGCAGGTTTTCAGTTTATGGTATTCTGGAGTTTTGTTCTTTCGCATTCGCGGAAGGACCCTCGCGAACGCGAAGGGTAAGTTAGGCTGAAGGAATTTTCCTTCAACGCGAACGCGAGAAACAGGTCGCGAACGCGAAGCCTTGGGGGTGCTACCCTTCGCGATCATGGACCTGCTATCGCGAACGCGAAGGCCTTTGGGCGAGGGCAGGGGGAAAGGGATTTTCTTCTACGCGAACGCGAGCCGCTAAACACGAACGCGAAGGCTATTGGGCCTGACCCTTCGCGAACGCGACATGCCCTTCGCGAATGCGAAGAAGGCCTGTCCAGTCAATTAAAAACAGTAGCAAAAATCGGGATTTAGTCCATAACTTCATATTTTCAAAACTAAGGAGCATTGAGGCGATTTTCAAAGAACAAGTTCTTCCCCAAAGCATTGGTATATAATTCTAAGCCTTTTTCTTTCGATTTCCCATTGCATTTCATCAATTTTCATCTTAAAATCTAGGGTTTTATGGTAGAAATTAGGAATTTGGGTAGAGTTAGGGCTTTTTGATTAATTGGAATTTAGACCTCGTTTTGGGGTCGGATTTCGAAACTAATTGCATATTCATGAATTGGATTGATTCATATAGAATTTATTGATATAGTTAAGTAACTTGTGGCTAGATACGAGCAAATTGGTGGTGGAATCAAGAGGTAAAGCGATAATTGAGACTTGAATTGTGCTCGTGGCATCGAGGTAAGTGTTGGTCTAATCTTAGCTTGAGGGATTAGGAGTCGTGTCCTATTTGCTATGTGTTAATTGTTGAGTACGACGTATAGGCATGGTGACGAGTATCTATACGTTAGTGTCAAGCATGCCCCTGAGTCTTATACTATGATTAATGTGACCCCGTTTTGTATTGTTCATGCCTTATGTGATATTCCTATTGTTGATCAAGGCTTGTGGAAGAAATTTTAATAATTGAACATTGAAGAGCGTTGGCTCAAGTTGTGAATCGAGTTGTGAAGTAAATGTGAAAAAGAGAAAAGGATTATGATACTGTCTACCTTGCCGGGATGTTGTTGCATTTAATGTTATCTCCCTTACCGGGATGTTGTTGCTTTTGGTATTGTTCCCTTGCCGGGATATGGTTGTTGTACTATTGTTCCCTTGCCAGGATTATATTGTGATTTCATTTATTCCCTTGCCCTTATTGCTTGTGATTGTTGTTTGGGTGAGGCAGAGTGTTAAAGCACGAACGATGATGCTGTGCATGATATTTGTGAGAGAGTGTTAATGCACGAAGGGTGATGTCGTGCCGCACGATGTACAATTCTGTGCCTTTATATGAGTGATTATGTGAGATAAAAGCACAAAAGGTGTTGCCGTGCCAATTATATTGATTTTCATGGTGAGGACGAGAGTAAAAGCACGAAGGGTGTTGCCATGCACTTGTCCTTAATTTTCCTGATTATACTGATAATTGAGTTATGGTGTTCTTTATGTTTACTTACTGATTTCCTGTTGTTACTTGATTTTATTGTGATGTTATTGTTTCCCTTGCCCAAATTGCTCTCTGATTGTTGCTTGGGTGAGGAAGAGTGTAAAGCACGAAGGGTGATGCTGTGCATGATATTTGTGAGAGAGTGTTAAAGCACGAAGGGTGATGCCGTGCATTGTTTTGGTGAGAGAGTGTTAAAGCACGAAGGGTGATGCCGTGCACTTGTCTTTGATTTCCTGATTTTCCATTGATAACTGAGTTATGGTTTTCTCTACATTCAACTGTTAGTTTTCTGTTGATATTTGTTGTTCCCCGCAGCATGTTTCCCCTCCCTATCTTTAACTGTAAAGTTTGCCTTTATTTTCCGTTTTATATGATTTAACTGCCAGGTTTATTTGGTAGTCTGGTCCTAGCCTCGTCACCACTTCGCCGAGTTTAGGCTAGGCACTTACCAACACATGTGGTCGGTTATGCTGATACTACACTCTGCACTCTTTTGTGCAGATCCCGGTACTACCTTAGCTTTGGATCGCTGCCTTCAGTCCATTCGGAGACCCTAGCCCTGCAGGCGTCCGCAGGCCTTGGCGTCTCCTTCTATCCCTTCATTCAGTTTCTTTTATGTATTTCAGAGACAACGTTGTATTTATCTTTCGGACCCTTATTTGTAGTATTCTTAGACAGTCTGTGAAATTGTGACACCAGTCCTGGGTAGTCTATGGTTAAGGAATTGTATTGGTAATATTTTAATGGTTATAATTTGTTCTTCCGCTTATTTAATTCCGCTGATTATATGATGTTGATTCATAACTGTTAAAGGATTAAAAATGAGAAATAGGTAAATAGTTAAAGTAATTGGCTTGCCTAGCTTTCACTAGTAGGCGCCATCACGACTCCCGAGGGTGGGAAATCCAGGTCGTGACAAGTTGGTATCAGAGCTCTAGGTTACTTAGGTCTCACAATTCACGGACAAGCTTAGTAGAGTCTGAGGGATCGGCACGGAGACGTCTATATTTATCTCCAGAGGCTACCAAGTTAGGAAAAACTTCACACCTATTCTTTCCTATCGTGCGATTTTGTTCTCTCAATGCTAAAATTGAACCCTCTACTTTTGTTCCTTTCGCGGATGGCGAGGTCGCGTACCGCTTCTTCGGTCGAGCAGCAGCACAGACCGCGTGGAGGTTGGACAGGTTTCACCAAGCTCTTCACTACTTATGGCGGTACATCTTCTGAGGATCCCCAGGATTATTTGGACAGCTATCATGAGGTTCTTAGGAACATGGGTAAAGTGGAGACCAATGGGGTCGACTTTGCTACTTTTCGTTTGACTAGTTCCACCAAGACTTGGTGGAGAGATTATTGTTTGGCTAAACCAGTTGGGTCACCAGCTTTGACTTGGGATCAGTTTTCTCAGCTATTTCTGGAGAAGTTTCTTCCCACTGAGAGAGAGTGAGTGAGGAGGTTCATTGAGGGACTCATTTAGCCTATTCGACTTCAGATGGCTAAGGAGACGGGGAGTGAGATTTCATTTCAGGATGCGGCCAATTTGGCCAGGAGGGTCGAGATGGTTCTTTAACAGGGGGTAGTCAGAGGTCTGACAAGAGGCCTCGTCATTCAGGAAGATTCAGTGGTGCCTCATCTGGAGGCAGAGATTCTTTTGGTAGAGGCCATCCTCCTAGGCCTTTTCAGTCAGCACTTCAGGTTTCTCACGGTGCTTCAGGTGACCGTGGTTCTCATATGCAGTATTCTGATCAGCAGTCCTCCAGTGCACCACCAGCTCCTATCAGTGCATCGCCGCTTCAGAGTTTTCAGGGGCGTTAGTCCTAACAGCCAAGGGCTTGTTTTACTTGTGGCGATACGGGGCATATTGCTAGATTTTGCTCCGAGCATCGAGCATCTCCCAGCATTAGGGTTCCCGTGCCATGGTTCAGGCACCGAGTGTTCCACAACCCGCTTAGCCAGCTAGGGGTGGAGGTAGAGGTGTTAGAGGTGGAGGTAGAGGTATTAGAGGTGGAGGTCAGGCCGCTAGAGGTGGAGGCCAGCCAGTAGCAGGCCGTCCCAGAGATGTAGTCCAGGGTGATGGGCCCCAGCCCCGATGTTATGCTCTTCCAGCCAGGCCTAGGCTGAGGCTTCCGATGCAGTTATCACATGTACGGTTCTGGTTTGTAGTAGG